ATAATTATGGTCGCGTTGTAAAATTTTTCAATCCATTTGCATCAAACAGTTGAACTTATCACCATTTTAAATTTATCATTCTTACAAGTTACAACCTATTTTTGATGTAGTTGGATCACCTTTCTGCCGTTTATAATATGTGAATGAAAGCCATTTGATCCTTTCCGTTATTTATAATATGTGAATGAAAGCCATTTGATTATCTCACGTGTTAGTTAATATCATCATGTCATACAGAGTGAAAAATATTGGGATATATAGTTATAAAATCATTACCATTTATTTATCTTTGTATGATTACAAATCTTATAATTCCCACATGACATAAAGCATGTTTGGATCTTTTTTTTAAGCTAAAAGCACTTAAAAACTAAAGTTGAAAAAAATAGCTTAAAAAAAACTAAAAGTTGTTTGGTAATTACATAAAAAATTTAGTTTAAAAGTTACTTAAAAATACATATTGCAAGAAAAGTCTATTTCTATCTTTACGACTCTACATTTAAAAAAAAGCAAACAATTTTAGAAAAGTTGATAAGAGATTAAAAAAATTTTCTTCTAGGAGTTTTTGACTTTTTTCTTTATTATAAAAAAAGCTTTTCATTATAACTTATCAAAGATTTTCTCAAAAATTTTTTGACCAATTTTTACTTATAAGAAGAAGAGAAGATAAACTAAAAATAAGTGAATCCAAACAAGTAAAAAAGAGCCTAACTTTTATTTACAACTAGAAAAGACTCTACATATAAGAGGATCGTTTGTTCCAAAAAAATGCTTTCACGGGATAAGAGAAACTAAAAATAATATCCAAAAAAAATGAAGGGTTCGTCGAATGTCCTATTACAGGATATCCTCTAACAATATTTAGTTATGTATTTGTTGTTGAAGATAGTGGGTGAATGATCACCAAAAGACTTGAATCTGAATGTAACAGAGAAATTAAAACAGAATTATGAAATACAATGCAATTAAGAAAATAGAATAGACTCACAGTACAGGAAAAGTATGAACACAGTATGCATAATGGAATCCGAGCTCAACACAGTTGTCTCCTTAAGACAATTTATTCTCTCACTATTGTCGAAGGTAGATGAACAAGTGTCTCACAGGATAGAACGGATTGCGTCTTAAGGATGATGGGAACTACCAACCAAGAGCCCAAATGAAACACAACATATGTCTGAGGAACTACAAGGATTTATGGATGTTTGCACAGGTGGAGCAAAAAATCGGTAGAATAACGATGCGGAAATATTGAATGAATTTTTTGAAGGGAAGAACGTCTATATATAGACGCCGAAAATTCACGTTGAAACGCCACGTCGGATGGCAACCAAACAATGCGTCCGGTGGCCAGTTCGGTTCAAATTTAATCGAATGCACCGGTTCGGTTCAGAATGAAGCGAAAGGTAAGAATCAGTTCAGTTCAAAAACGGTGGATAGCAACGTTTCGGTTTGAATAATCTGGAGGGAAACAACGGATAGGGACATAGGTATTTTCGATCAAAAAATTAATTTAATATTTCACACGAACCGACCGGCCGAACGGACAGTGGCACGTGCATGTGATGGACCAAAGGCCACCTAGCTCCTCTCTCCTCCACAAATTGTGTAGTGCCCCAAGGGGCAATTTAGGAGTGTGAGGTGAGAGTTTGTATACTCTCTCACCTCTTATTGGTTGTCCAATGTGAAACTCTTTAAAACCCACACACCCTTTTCATCTTCCCTTTTTTTCTTTCCAAACCTCTTCTTATCCATCACCAATGAAGAGTTTTATACTTAAAATTCTAACAATATTTCGGGAAGTATATTGTTAAAGGCAGTGTTATAAGAACCGGACCGGACCGACCAGTTCGAATAGGAAACCGGTAAACCGGCGGTGCAACCGATCTGGGTAACACCAAAGACCGGACATGCTGGTGAACTGGTGTAACTCGGGTTGAACCGGCCGGTTTTCATAAAATCGGTGACTCGCGGGTCAAAAAAACCAACCTGGTGATGATCTTTATCCAGATCTGTTCTGGATCCTTCAAGATCTGTGATAGAAAAAGAAGAAGAAAACTCATTCATAGAAGAAGAAAAAGAAAAACAACAGATTTAGATCTACCACAAAACTTGTCCATTCTTTTGGAACCAAGGATGCGAGAACCAATGCATGTAATCCGGCTCGCTCAGAAGTGGATTTGAACCACTGATACAAGAATTTTCAATCCTTTCTACAACCTTTAAAGAAAAGTAAAGGAAAGAAAAAATAAAGACATTACTGCAATAGAGAAGAATGGGAAAAGGGAGGGCTGCTGGAGGAGGAGTTGAAGTTTTGAAGATGATGCAAATATTTTTTCTTTTGGGATTCGTACAGTTTTGTGAAGAAGGGAAAGGATGGTTTTGATTTTTTCCAATAGAATACAATTGGAAAGCTTTATCAGTTTTTTATAAATTAATTAAGGGTTATATATTTCTTATGTGACTGAAAAAAAAACATCTGCAGCAACTATTAACGACGTCGTTTCTCGCTTTCCTTTTCGTTCTTTTTCTTTTTTGTATTGCGTTTCCTTTCACTCTTTTTCTTTCTTTGTACTGGAAGATGCCACTGGTACCACCATTTCGCTCCACCACCATCGTGCAACACCATCATCGTTTTCCATCACCTCCGTGCAGCACCACTTCCATGGTTATCTTTCCTCCATTGCTATGAAAATTTTGGTTTGCTACACTCCAACAACAGTAATTCAATTCTGGGGTTTTGGGGTTTTTGCTTTTGGTGATTTTAATTGACAAGATGCCCTCAACCATCTCAAAGCTGTCATGGAAGTTGTCTTGGATCAAGGTCTTCCTTTTATCATGTTCTTTCTCATCTTCTTTTATTTTTTTTCTGGCTTTCTCAACTTTTTTTTTTAATTTTTAACTCCAATGATGCTAGTTGAGGAGCCATTGCAGAATTTTTTTGAAATTCTTACATACACCAAATTACTGACTCGTGGTTGGATTTTAAAGTGAACTAATTTTTTTCCTTGGTGTAGTAATAATGCAATGAGCGTGTAGGCTAAGGACAAGGAAAACATACAGGATTTAGGGGTTCCCCATCTATTGCACAGGTATAATTCCCTTTTTTTTTTCATCCTTATGTACTCTCTTTTCAATCCTTCTACTAATTACTACTTTTAATAACTGTACTTTTCAATCTTGACTCTCTTCACACAAATCTACAAATCTGTCATTTGTGTTTATAGATCTCAATGACAATTTTTCAATTTAATTTTGATGGATAAATTTGGAAGACGACACTTTTGCTAGTAAATAGGTTGAGCTTTTTTTCTACTTTTTGTGGTGTTCTGTAAATTTTGAACCCGAAATTTTGACTATTGTGTAGGTGTCTGCACTGGGAACATGTTTAGGATGCTTCCTCACAGCTCTATCATTCTTCATGCAGGTTCTTTTAATAACAAAATGTGCTATAATAAATTATTTTTCACATGAATTATTTCAAAGAATAATTAAGCTTACCTTATGCAGGACCTACATAAACTGAAGGGAAACAGTCTCATTCCGGCGCTTGTTGGAGTACTAGTAATTCTTATGCAACTATGGCTATATAAAATCTCATAAATTTAAATTCAAGCTCTAGGTATCTAACTTTAATGTATTCAATAATAACTTTGTTTTATAACTGTGAAAGAGTGATGTCAAACCCATAAATTTTTATTCTTGATAGTATTACTTTCTAGTTTTTATTGTGTTTTGTCTCTGAGTATAGTATCTTGTATCCTAACTTTGTCTTGTATTATACTACAACAAAAATATTAATATAAGCAAAATATGTTGATTAAGTTTTTGATTTAAAGTGATAAGCATCAGGATTATGACTCACAATCTCTCTCTATTGGAGTATACCTTAAAATTTTGAAGATTTAAATTTTTTCTTACAGCACCTATATTTTGCAGATTTAAATTTTTTCTTTATGATGGATCACTCTCAAATTGTAACTATTGAAGACATTGATATGAGTGGAAGTTTAGTATGTGTAGATGATATTATTGATTTGGAAAAAGACACTGATGAATTTAAAGAAGATGATCTTAGTGAAATCATGGCAAACAAAGATGGTGAATGTGAAGAAGATAATGCACATGAAATTGTGGGAGATGTTGATACTGAATTAAGCGAGACCCCTATTTTAACTAGAGTTTTTGAGACATCAGAAGAAGCTTATATTTTTTATAATGCTTATGCAAAAGGTAAGGGGTTCGGAATACGTAAGCAATACCATAACAAGAGTACAATTACAAAACAACCATATAGGTGGAGATATATGTGTTCAAAGCAAGGTGTCAAGAGACTAGATGATAAAAGAGTTGATGTTGACAATGTTAAAAGGCAAAGGGACACAAGAACTAATTGTTTGGCGATGTTACAAGTAAAGTTAGTGGATGGCCTATGGAAAGTGGAGAAGTTCAATGATATACACAATCATCCAATGATTAACACTCCAACAAAAGTCAAGAAGTTTCTTTCTCAAAATCCATTAAGACGCTCAGATTTGACAAAATCAATTGTGTCTAAACTTTTTCAAGAGGGTTTAACATCTTCGAAAATCTCAAAGGTTGTGAGCGCTATGAACAAAGAGGTTAATCTTACTCCCGTTCAAATCAACAGTATTATATCTAGCCAGTGAAAGAATAATGTGGGGCGAGAATGTCAGGGCATCATCAAACACTTTCAAAGGAAGTCTATGGTTGATGGAGCTTTTTATTTTGATATGCATTTGGCAGAAGATGAAACATTAAGAAGCATATTCTGGGCAGATGGTAGGTCAAGAGCTGCATATGCTCATTTTGGTGAAGTCCTTGTCTTTGATGTGACTTACAGAACAAACAAGTTCAAGTTTCCTTTTGCTCCTTTTGTGGGAGTTAATCACCATGGACGAACAATTTTATTTGCTGCTTTGCTAGAAGATGAAACAGAAGCAACTTTTACATGGTTGTTTGAACAATTTTGAACATGTATGTTTGACAAGTCTCCTGTTGCTATTATCACTGATCAAGATAAAGCCATGAGAAAAGCAATTGCCAAGATATTTCCAGAAGCACGACATCGTTTTTGCGCCTGGCATATAAAGAAACATGTTATGGAGCATAGTCAAGCACTACGCGCACAATTTAAAGATGGTTTTGATGTTGACTTCCGTGCATGGTATAAAAGTCGCAACATTGATGAGTTTGAAGGCAAATGGGAAGTATTGAGGACTAAATATGTTATTAAGACAGATAGTTGGCTGGCTAACATGTATGCTTCATGTCATCATTGGGCAAAGGCATACTTGAAAGATACCTTTTTTGCTGGAATGACCACAAGTGGCCGAAGTGAGAGCATCAATGCATTTTTTGATGGATATGTCAACTCTAATACAATGTTAAATGATTATGTTATCCAGTATGACAAAGCAATCAAATCTAGGAGGGATGCAGAGGAAGATGAGGATTTCAAAACTAGAAATACAAAAGCAGTTTTGGAGACTAATCATCCTATTGAAGAAATAGCTAGAGAATGGTACACAAGAAAATTATTTGAAATTTTTAAAAAGGAGTGGAAGGCTGCCATACTTGATTATTTTCATGAAAAGATTGCAACGAAGGAAAACCTTATCATGTATCGAGTGGGGTCTCGTGAAGTTGATAAAGAAAGGTGGGTAATTGTCGAGTATCATTTGACAGAAAGCTTCACAGCTCAATGTTCATGTGCAAAGTTTGAGACTATGAGGATTTTGTGTAAACATATTCTATACATTATGAAGAAGAAACAAATAATGACCCTTCCTAAAAAATATATCTTGTCTAGATGGACTATGAATGCAAGCTATAAGGCTGAAAATCTTGTATCCATTCATGATGAAACAAATCCTAATGAAATTAGTGCATTGGCTTTGTGGTCGATTCATTCGAAGTGCACTATGGCTATTTCTGAAGCACGAGATTCTATTTTTGAGATTAAAAGGTTTGATGTTATGGTTGCTGAATTTTTGCAACAACAGTTGGAAAGAAAAAGAAAGAGAGGTGAAGATAAACAAATTACCCAAATGATTCCACAAACTTCATTCATTAATGATGTGCGTGATCTACTCAACCAGTCAAAACTAAAGGGCGTCCAAAGGTTGCTTCACGAATAAAATCAAGCATGGAGTTGTCAACAAAAAACTTGTAGTTATTGTCGAGGGAAGGGTCATAATAAAACAGGTTGTCAGATGCTAAAGGTACTCATTTTTAAATTTGCTATTTATGTTTGTGATTTCCTGTTTAAACTTGATGAAAAATTTATGAAGTTTCATTTGTAGATGGAAGTTGCAGGAGAGAAGCAAAAAGAATAGTTGCGATTGCACATATTTCATGGTTTTATTTTGGTTTGAACTTATTTTTGATGAACCATTTGAATTATTATAATTTTAACTATAACCTTTTAATATATATTTGTGTTTAAATACTTAATACTTTTTTTACTTATTTTTCAGAAAAAATTCTGGGACACTGCTGGTTGGAGAAGTAAATACTATAAGCACTATGGGTTTCAAATGTACATGGAGAATTTTTTTGTGTATATACAATCTCTGTGATGAAGTGTAAAGGGATATGACTTTTTTTGTTACTTTTATCAGATTTGGTAACCAAATGTAAAGTGTAAAGGGATATGAGTTTTTTGTGACTTTGACAGATATGGTAACCAAATGTAAAGTGTAAAGCCAACTGCTATTTTTTGATTTGTACAAAGGAACTTCAATGCATACAACAAGTGTAATATTGTAAGTTTGCTATTGTGTTTCTATCATGATAATGTCTTTATTAAGTAATTGTGTTGAATTTTGCGAGGTTGGTGATTTTGCGATTGAGGAACTTAGACATGCACGACCACTGTTAGAAGATTATGCGAATGAGGAACTTATTGATCCAAGGTTGGGAAGTCACTATTCAAAACATGAAGGAGCTGAGGCTATCAAATTCTTCTATCTGGAAACAACTATTACTGCAAGCTTGTTTAATCTACAATTTAGTTTCTTGATGTAAAATATATTAGGGTAATGTTTTTCTTATGTCATTGGAGTGAGCTTACCTCATGCCATAGACCCTTCGAAATTTGAGCCATCAATTTTTTTTCTTTTCTTTTTGTTATAGTGTAGGACCCACTTGAAGATGTCTCTATAGGAGATAGTCTTGTCTCCAATGACATAAGAAAAAGCAATCCCAATATATTAGGGCCTTGTGTCATTCCAATTTTAGTTCAGATGATATACTGTTCATTCATGTGAGTAAATTTTTTTTTTACTCATTAATTACGATCATATATTTCATTGTTACAAGCAAGTAATGAGTTGCTGCTAGTAATGGTAACAAAACATCATGTACTATCTTTGTCATCTTGTAAGGAGTTGTGCTTTGTCAATATTTTCCCACTTCTTTAGTACTGAGTAAAAACACGGCATAGTTTTAAAATATCAAGCCAATTACAATGCTTCAATGATATCTATCTATCCCCCATCCCCCTTTGAAATTTCTTTCTTTTCTGACATTCTAATTCTAGTTCCAATGCTTAGGGAAAAGTTGTTTCACTTCTTGAATTCTAATTTCCTTTTACTTCCCAAGATGTTGATCTCCTGCTATTGATCTCCTGCTGCACCAATACATATGTTCTGTTAGTAAATGAGTTCATCTCCAAGAAATACCATCCATATTATTTGCTTTATCTTTTAAAGGAATGAATGTGCGGGAAGCAGGGATCAAGAATAATAAATGCAAACCTACCTGCTGAACTCCAATTCATAAGTTAGACGCATATGAAACAATCCAAGAACACAACCAGTTAACCAAGGTCACAAAGCTTCCAGCAGAGCCCTTCATGTTTATGGGAAATATCTGGAAAATAAAAATATAACCATTAATTCATCATGCTCATGATTTGTTATGTTTGAATTTTTATTTCATGAGTTGAAGCATGATAAGGTGAAGCTACCTCGGACATTATAACCCAAGGAATTGCTTCCATGCCTATCGAGTAAGATCCTACATATACTTGGCCATTAACAAAATTAAAAGGACAATTACCTTTATATGTCAATCTGCAAGTAAATTGGCCTGAATAGACACTAGGAATTGAGTTATTATCTTAAAACTTCTAACTTTAGGGGCATCATTCAAATACTAAATCCAATCCTATAATGCGTTTTATAAAATATAAAAACAATTATAGACTAAATAATAATTATTTGCCAAATATCACACAATCATTCAATTCGGTCCAGTTTAATTTTGTAATTTATGTACATAAGTAAGTTATCAATTATTTATGAGCTGCTTATTGTATATAGTAGACTTTATATTAATACTAATAAAAAAAGTACTTGACTAGCCATTTTGAATATTTTACCCATAAGTGAAATTAAAGAGTAACATCATTCACACAAGTTAAACTGATATAATTTAAAAATATATATTCAACAAAAATTTTTGTAATGAAATTGAAGCATGTGAGTGACATTATTTTAAATTTATTACCCCTTCACTGAAACGAGTACTGCAAAATGAGCCATTAAATAAGTCATTATTGATGTGATTATGAGTAGTGTTTTTCAACACCCAAAAGCCAACAAGATCAAAACAGAGGAAGCTCAAACAAGTAAGATGTAGGCCATATATAAAGCCATAACATTTATGATGTTCATGGAAATGAAATTTACCTATGTTTATCCTCTTTTTTAAGCTTTTCCCCCATAGAGTGAACTTGTTCACACCCTTGATGAGAGAAGATATAGAGTAAACCACCAAACCAAGCTGTTAATGATTTGCAGGTTGCCAGGGTGAATAGGGGTTTCTTAGTTATTTTTTGGGTAAACACCTATTCAAGCCTCACAAGCAATGTTAGTGTACCAATGTCCAATATACTCATCTATTAAGTACTTTGGTGGGAAGCTGATGAGTTGCATTCTATAGAGAAGGAGAACTAAAACCAACTGAGCAAGAAATTTGGATTCAGAGAGACCCCTTAAATAGTTGCTTAATATGAGGATTGTTCAACATCTAGTTATCAGCTCATTGTGGTGTTGTTTACGAGTCTTCTTCATGATGACCGTTCCGATGTGTAAGGGGAGGTGGTGCAGCTACAAAGACATTGATGCTAGATATGAATGAGGCAGAAAATGCAATGGGTCAAGGGTGTCTACCTGAAAGTTTTGCTTATGCATTCATGATGGAATGACGAGGATCCAGGGTTTAAGATTCAAAGCATGTTATAACATATATAGGCTATCAACTTCGTGCAATTTTCTAATAAGGTTTTGTGAAAGTAAAGGGAATTATACTTGTGCAATAGATGGGGAACCCCTAAATCCTGTATGTTTTCCTTTTCCTTAGCCCACACGCTCATTGCATTATTACTACACCAAGGAAAAAAAAATTAGTTCACTTTAAAATCCAACCACGAGTCAGTAATTTGGTGTACGTAAGAATTTCAAAAAAATTCTGCAATGGCTCCTCAACTAGCATCATTGGAGTTAAAAATTAAAAAAAAGAAGTTGAGAAAGCCAGAAAAAAAATAAAGAAAGATGAGAAAGAACACGATAAAGGGAAGACCTTGATCCATGACAGCTTCCATGACAGTTTTGAGATGGTTGAGGGCATCCTGTCAATTAAAATCACCAAAAGCAAAAACCCCAAAACCCTAGAATTGAATTACTGTTGTTGGAGTGTAGCAAACCAAAAATTTCATAGCAATGGAGGAAAGATAACCATGGAAGTGGTGCTGCATGGAGGTGATGGAAAACGATGATGGTGTTGCACGGTGGTGGTGGAGCGAAATGGTGGTACCAGTGGCGTCTTCCAGTACAAAGAAAGAAAAAGAGTGAAAGGAAAAGCAATACAAAAAAAGAAAAAGAAAGAAAAGGAAAGCGAGAAACGACGTCGTTAATAGTTGCTGCAGATTTTTTTTTTTCCAGTCACATAAGAAGTATATAACCCATTAATTAATTAGGACATTTATTGCATTGAAAATTGAAACTTTGAAAGGGTTGTTGTAAAAAAAAAAATTAACAACGTATGCAGCTTTTATATTAAGGGAAATACATCTATATTTCCAAAAAAAAAAGGGAAATACATCTATTATGTAACATGATGTAAGCTTCTTTTCCTACCCAAACAAATAGACGTGGGGTCCACAATTTTTTATTTTCTCTTTCCTCAACTGATTTTCTCTCTCTTCTTTTATGTTAGTGTAGGATCAAATAGTGTTTTTTATGTAACATTATATAAGTATAACCCTTATATTAAATTCAACCGGTTGGAAGACTTTTATATTTTTTCATGTATTATTTTTTCTTTTATTCACATGTGTGCAACTTTATTTTTATTTATAGTAAAATGTTTATATTTATTTTAATTTAAAATAAAAAATGTATAATCAATATTCTCAAATTATATATATATATATATATATATATATATATATATATATATATATATATATATATATATATATATACCGGTCGTGGGATTGAACCAGTAACCCACTGGTTGAACCAATGACCCAGTGACCCAGCACTTCGATCACCGGGTCGATTTTTATAAGAGTGGTTAAAGGGGTTTTAGTTTGTCCTTTAACATGACACAAAAAATTTCCTACACATAAAATATTTTGTGGAGCTCGCACTTTTTAAAGTAAAAAAAAAAAAAACTAAAGGCACGCAAAACGAATCTCTATAACATTAACATAACTCTTATAAAATCCATAGTTAAAATACTAAAAGTTGTTTTTTTCCTTCCACCAAGCAATCTTAATATTTTAACTACATAATTAAAAAATGATTGAAGGACCAAAAACTCATTCTTACATTATAATACTTATATTTCCCGTAAATGAAAGGGTGAATTTTTTTTCAAGAACAGACAAAACAACGTTGGTAAAACTAAAACCCTCTGAGTGTTGCTCTTATGTTGAAGTGTTCAACTAAACCCCAAAACCATGGTGCATTATAGCTGAGACGGTGGTTCATGGCGGGTCCTTTTCTTCTTCGTTCTCTCTGGTCTTCCGTCAGAAAATCCTTTTCCTCTTCTTCTTCTTCTTCTACTTCCACTTTCGCTCCCTCTCGCTTCTTCTCACGCGCCTTCGCCGCCGCTCCCGCCGCCGCCGCCTCCTCTGCCTCCGCCGCTGCTCCCGGCGGCTCACTCGACCCCAGCCGCCTCCGCAACGTGGCCGTGATCGCTCATGTCGACCACGGCAAGACCACCCTCATGGATCGCCTGCTCCGCCAGTGCGGCGCCGACATCCCACATGAGCGCGCCATGGATTCCATCACCCTCGAACGCGAGCGCGGCATCACCATCGCTTCCAAGGTTCGTGCCCTAATTTCGCTCCCTCGAAATCGAACACTTCCACTTCGTTTACTGTGAGAATTGAAAGAATGCTTATATTTTTTCAGGTTACATCTATTCCGTGGAAAGAAAATGAGCTTAACATGGTTGATACTCCTGGACATGCTGATTTTGGTGGTGAGGTAAAATTTTCATTTCGGCTTTATGAATTTATTTGGATTGAAATCAAATTGCATAGTCTAACATGCTTGATTGCAAAAATGATTTTTTATTTAAAAAAATCCATAAATGATCCTACTTTATTTTAGCAATTAGCTAATGATTTTTTTTTTTTTTAAGTGTGAAGTGTTATTAGTGAATAGTGGAAACTATGCACTGGTTCTAGTGTTTTCTGTTCTTCTCATTTTTGTGTTTGGTTGATGACTAGGTTGAACGTGTTGTTGGTATGGTTGAGGGAGCGATTTTGGTTGTTGATGCTGGTGAAGGTCCACTTGCGCAAACAAAATTTGTTCTTGCAAAAGCCTTAAAGTATGGGTTGCGTCCTATTCTTCTTTTAAACAAAGTAGACAGGCCTTCAGGTAGTCCCCTATTTCTCTGCCTATTGTATCTTGATCCTATGCTATGTTAGATAAAATAGAATTTATGTTGATGACATGGTTATGATTTGCCATATTTCCTCGATTTTGAGTTCATTGTTCTTGTTCTATCTTTGACATTTGATTTCCGGATATGGTTGGTTGGTATTCTCTCGTGCCATATTTCACAAAATAAAAACAGTCAAGTTGACCCTAAATGTTTCTCAGATTCCTGTAACTGTTGGCAGCTAAAAATAATGTATCTCAGTTATCACTGGAAAACGAGAAATCATTCTCATTTGTGTCTTTTAGGTACTTCTGTAATTGTGGCCTAATCCTTGCAGTTATTTTTTATACAGTTACTGAGGAGACATGTGATGAAGTTGAGAGTCTGGTGTTTGATCTATTTGCCAACCTGGGTGCTACAGGTGCAAAAATGGAAATATCCAATGATTATGCTTGATTGTTTTTTCTAACTTAAACTCCTTTTTCTGAAATTCTATTATTATTTTATTTGTATATATAGAGGAGCAACTAGACTTTCCAGTTCTTTATGCTTCTGCTAAAGAAGGATGGGCATCCACCACCTTTACCAAGGATCCTCCTGATGAGGCCAAAAATATGTCAGAGTTGCTTGATGCCATTGTAACACATGTCCCACCACCAAATGCAAACATTGATGCACCTTTTCAAATGCTGGTTGGCATTTAAAATTTTGATGAGCTTATTATTATGTGTCTCTTGTTTGATAAGTTTCCTTTTGTGAAAGTTGTCTTCTTGATGCAGTGTTTGTTTTCTTTTGTTGCGAATGTACTCTTCTCTTTTATCAACTGCAATTTTTAATGAGGATTCATATAACTCAATTCTATTTACTATTGTGTACATAATAAATGGTCCTTGTTCAATACTTAGAAAATCTACTTCCCTATCCAAATATTCACAAGCCACAACTAATTATAAGAGCCCACAAATTAAAAGCATAATAGCTTCAGGAAATTCTGGTTTCATTTTTTTCTCTTGTATCCTCTTTGAATTATTGTTGTTTCCCTGTACTTTTCTTGGATGTATACTTGGGATCAGTGAAAAACCATGCTTAATAGTGCTTTTCAGGTTTCAATGATGGAAAAAGACTTCTATCTTGGTCGAATTTTGACTGGGCGCATATATTCTGGGGTTGTTCGTGTTGGTGACAGGGTTCATGGACTACGCAATAAAGATTCTGGTCCTGAAAAGGTTGAAGATGGAAAGGTTTGTAGATCTATGAGCTTGTAATTACATTTGCAGTTGGATAGACAGGAACTATGGTTGGTAAATGATAAGAGCTAAATAGTTTTGTAATTTTTCTGCTAATGTGTAATATATTAAATCATCCTATAAGTACATGCATTTTCCATTCCATCAGTTTATTCCCCGAAGTGTGATCTTGGGATAAATGTTAAAAGCTTATGTCTTTTAATTCACCATGAGAATATTTGACAGCACACTCTTATGAATAGCAACACCGTTTAAAGTTAGTGATGAATGTCCACATTTATTATTAGTAGGGTGTCTTCTGGTGCCACTTATATCATGCCTTGTTCCTTATCACTAGTTTAAAGTAAATCGCATATTAAGCAAGTACCTCTACCTTTGATATGTCTAATATTTCCATCCAGACATTACTGACATTGAATCATAACAGACTAGCAGAGCAATTAACTGTAAAGCTGTCATTGGCATATGTTTTTGCAGTTACATTGTTTGTGAAAAGGCTAATGATTTCATGTCTAGTTATATCAATCATGTCATTCTTGTCAACTGTTTATGAAAGAGGAACTGTATCAGTTTTAAACAACATAACAGAATATATATGATTTTCTTCTTCTGCAGATTACGTTTTGAGTGCTCTTGACAATGCTGAAAAATATACCTGTACCATTCATTTGAAAATCATTTAGTTATATTCAAAATGTAGTGGAAATGGTAAGTAAATACTAATTATCTCGAAATGGCTAACAGATGAGCTGAAATTTTGATGTCCTCTGTGTAGTCTTTATTAATTAATAATAGTAGTTATGAGATTAGTATATCATGACCTTCTACTGGAAGCTCTAATTTTATATGATTTTTCATTTTTGTAGGTGGTGAAACTGATGAAAAAGAAGGGTACGAACATGGTTCTTACTGATTGTGCTGGAGCTGGTGATATAATTTCAGTTGCTGGCTTGGCAAGTCCATCAATAGGCCATACGGTGGCAACGGTGGAGGTGTTTATTATTTTTTATTCTTTTTTTATTCCTCCTTATTTTCTATGGCCATTTTACTTAGGAAAACGACCATGGGTTCATTTGATGTGGCCTTTACTTACATTTCTTTTTGTACTAAAGAAATACTTTTAAGCGAATAAACAGGTAAATATAATATGATATAAATTTATTAGTTTGTTTATTAATTTTATTTTTATTATTTATACTTAATTTTTTATGAAATTTTATCCTAAATACCCTAGTTATATTATAAATTTTAATTTTAATTATAAATATACTTTGATATGATACTGTCCACTTACTGGATGTTCAAATTGCCCTCTTTATTTTTAAATAAACTTTCAGTTCAAAACACTAGTTTAATAATTTTCTAACAAATTATCAATTTGTTCACTGACTATATGAATGATAAGATCTTGATATTTTATTATATTTATATTCAATTTTTATATAAACTTAATATCTTGTATTTTGAGAACATTTCTAGCCCAAAATTGGGGACCTGAGTAACTTAATATTCTTATGTCCTAGGTTATGTCTACATTGCCCACAGTTGAATTGGATCCTCCAACAATTTCCATGACTTTTGGTGTCAATGACTCCCCATTGGCTGGTCGTGATGGTACTCATGTAAGTTGTGTTTGTTTTACTTTTACCTGCTTTGCTGTCCTCAGTTTCTTGTGTAAAATTTTTTGGCGGAGGCTTCCCAAATTGCCAAATCCAAACTCAAACCTGCCCTTTTGTCTTGTTTGAAACTGGCACTCTGTAGTTTTTGCATATTCAGTTATTATATATTTGTAGTTATTGGTTACTCTATTAAGTAACTAGATTAATGCTCATTTTTTATAGTTGACTGGGGGAAGAATTGGTGACCGATTGATGGCTGAAGCTGAAACCAACCTTGCCATAAATGTGCTTCCAGGCTTATCAGAATCATATGAAGTTCAGGGAAGAGGAGAGCTACAGCTGGGTTTGTTCCTGTTTCTCGGAAATCACATGATCCTTACTGTTATATACTTGTAAAAACTCAGTGATTGATTTTGTGCTTACGCATCTGCTTATGGCATCTATGTATGTTAACAGGTATTTTAATTGAGAACATGAGACGCGAGGGATTTGAGTTATCTGTCTCTCCACCTAAAGTCATGTGAGTTTCTGAGGACTGAATAGGGCTCTGAATTTTCAGTCTCAGTATTAGTTTTGACACAATGTAGTTTTCCCTGCTGAGCACTACATTAGTTTGGGGTGCAGTTTAAATACTGAATAAATACTGTAAGCTTTCTATGCATTGATTCAAATGTTTTGGTAGAGACTCTTGAATTTTTCAAAAGCTAACTCGGAAAAGCTTAAGCATGGAGGCTTAGGAACGGTTATATATCTCAATCACACTCGGTCACTCACATACTGAACCGTGGGCAATGTACAAATCTATTTACTATATCAACATCAACAGCACCTTTAACCCAAACTACTTGGGGTCAGTGGTAGATGAACCCAATGATAAATAAGAGGAGATTAAAAAATAAAATAATAAATAAATAAATAAATAAAAAATCAAATAAAAAATAAAAAAAATAAAAAAAATAAAAAAATAAAAAAAGAAAATTGGGGAAGGGGGAATAAGATAAAATACAAGAATGGAAAAAGAGAGGGGGGATTGAAGAGGAAAAGGACTAAAAAGAGACCATCTGGAACATAGGAATAACAACGGGTTTAACCTTCCACCCTGCTTATAGCTTTTCTTCATTCCGTTCTAAGACCCACCGTCTGCCAATCTATATCCCACTCCATTAAGTCTTGTTTACCTACCTTTCCCCAGGTAAGTTTTGGTTTACCTCTACCTCTCTTTGTGTCGAGCTCTTGGTAACAAACTTTTGTTCTTACAAGAGCATCCAGGGGCCGTCTCATTACGTGCTCAAACCACCTCAATCTATGTTCCCTCATCTTTTCAGTTACCAGTACTACTTCTACCTTTCGTCGAATATCTTCAATTCTTATCTTATCCATCCTCGTATAACCACACATTCACCTTAACATCCTTATTTCTGCTACTCCCATTTTATGCTCGTGTTGCCTATGTGCTGGCCAACATTCAGTTCCATATAACATTGCAGGCCTTACTGCTGTCATATAGAATTTTCCTTTTAGCTTAAGTGGAATTTTGCGGTCACACAAAAATCCAGATGCACTCTGCCATTTTAGCTATCCTGCTCTGATTTTATGATTTACATCCTCATCAATCTCACCATCTTTTTGCAAAATTGATCCCAGGTATCTAAAAGCATCTTTTTTGGGTACCTCTTGACCAAGTAAATGCATGGGGTCTTGATCTCCATCTCTTACTAGAGAAAACTCACACTTCATATACTCAGTCTTGTTCCGGCTTAACGTGAAACTTTTAGACTCCAAAGTGCTTCTCCACAATTCAAGTTTGCTATTAACACCGTCTTTGGTCTCATCAATAAGCACAATATCATCTGCAAAAAGCATACACCACGACACTTCCTCTTGAATGTCTTTTGTTAGTTCATCCATCACTAAGGCAAAGAGATAAGGACTCAGAGCCGAACCTTGGTGTACACCTACTGTAATAGGAAAATAACTTGATGTTCCATTACAAGCTTTTACACATGTAGTAGCCCCATCATACATATCCTTGATTGCATTTATATACTTTGATGATAATTTTTTCTTCTCAAGAACTCACCATAAAACTTTTCTTGAGACCCTATCGTATGCTTTCTCAAAATCTATGATCACCATATGTAAATCTTTCTTTTTTTCTCGATATCTTTCCATCAATTGACGCATCAAGAAAATAGCTTTTGTGGTACATCTTTCTGGCATAAATCCAAATTGATTTACAGAAACTTTGGTTTCTCTCCTCAAACGATGTTCAATAACTCTCCCACAATTTCATAGTATGGCTCATAAGCTTAATGCCTCTATAGTTAGAACAATTCTGGATATCTCTCTTGTTTTTGTAAATAGGCACAAGCACACTTTTCCTCCATGCATCAGGCATCTTATTTGTTTGAAGAATTTTATTGAAAAGATTGGTCAGCGAAATTTATTAACCATGTACTGAAACTAATTTATTTATAAAAAGTGGGGATTGCTTGAATCAAATTCCTAGGCAATTGGTCATAGAAGTCTAATGCCATGTCAAAGACCAAATTTCTTATTAAGCTGTTAAGTAGGAGCCTCAGGAATGTTTTCATATCTCCAACATAAATTATAGGTGTTAGAATATCTATATAGTGTAGGATTAGTATAGTATTTCTTTTGCTTCCTTATAATGAGTGATGGGTCCTTGTAATGAGGGATGGGTCCCTGTAATGAGTAATGGGTTTCCTATATTTTTTTTTTCCATTATTAGTGATTGTATTGATTGTAAATACCATTTGAGCTTCAAAGAGTTCTCTAAGCTATTTAGATATTCCCTTCTTCATGGTATCATGGGACCAAAACTCTTCATCTTTTTCATTTTTTCAAATCTGTTCTAGCTACTCGCATCTCAAAACCATGGCCAACCAAGATGGAACCACTCCCAGACAACTCAGAAACAGCCAACAACTCGTCTGGAGCTCGCCGCCGCCTGAAACATGGTCACGTGCGCGTGAAGCCCACTTGCAGACCAGTTACATGCGTGTGAAGCCCACCCCCGTCTTCCACTGGTCGTCTTTGTCAGCTGCGAAGGTCGTCGTGATCGCCTTGGTCTCCTCTACTTGTTCCAATACTGTGTTACTCTATTCGGGTTCGTTTCACTAGTAAGTCATCCAAAACCACTTCTTTTTGGCAACTATTCACCCATTTCTGTCTTGTTTTGTGCGGTTTGGTTCAGTTTTAACCTCTGTTGGAGTAGATATGGCTTCAAATGATGGAGATTCTTCTAGTCCGGAAACTCCTCTCTCACCTGAAGTTCCTGTTTCATCCGGAGTTACCAATCCGGTTCGTCATATTCCAGTTGCTTATGCTTTTTCAACTTCGCCGACAATTACATCTGAAAAGTAATAGTAAGAACTATTTACCTTGGTCCTCTTCTGTTGAGCGTTGAGCTATGGTTTCTTGGTCAGGGTACCATCTTGAAAAGTCAGTTTCCGATATTCCTCCTGAAGAACGGAGTCAATGGGAAAGGTTTGACTATCAGTAATGTGCCTTATTATGGCAATCTGTGGAACCCTCTATTTTAATGAATTTTCCCACGTTTAAAACATGTCACTTTTTGGAACAAAGCTCGCAGCTTATTTGCTAATGATATTCAAAGACTGTATGATGCAGCCCATAAATTGACTTTTCTTCACCAAGGTAGTCATGATATGACAAGTTTTGTTGCTCAAGCACAGACAGCATTGGAGGAACTAAAAATGTTTTTGCAGGCTGACGGTCATCAAGGCTTATTAGCAAAATTGGAAAATCTATATGTAGTCCTGGTATTGCGTGCTATGTATCCTGGTTTCAGTCACATTGGAGATCAACTTTTGACTAGTCATGAAGTACCCACCATGGACCGTCTTACCACTCGCCTCTTAAGGGTTCCCACTTCCATTACTATGGACTCGCGTCCTAACACAATTGACACTTCAGCTTCCGCTTTAGTCACTAGCTTTGGCTTCCGTGGAGGACGTAGGGGTCGTGGTGGTCGAGGAGTTAGGGGAGGTCGCGGTGGTCGTAGTGGTCGCAACAACAATCTTCGTTGCACATACTGTAAGCGATCAGGCCACACTTAGGAGACATGTTATTCTCTACATGGTTTCCCTAACAAAAAATTTAATCTCACTCAGTCTAAACCTGATTTAGAAGAAGGAATGAGATTTGACATTCCTGATAAGCAGTCATTTTCTCTTACAGAAAATGAGTTTCAGGAATTTCTTCAGTTGAAAGAAGCAAAGCCGACCCAATCTTCTACTACCATTGTTGCTCATTCGGGTAATCCTACAGTCTGTATTTCTCATACGGGTAATAATTCCACAACCTGGATCCTTGATTCAGGTTCCTCTGACCATGTAGCTGGTAATTAGTCTATCTTCTCTTCCCTTTCTTCACCTGCTTGTCCTCGTTTTGTAACTTTAGCTGATGGTTCCAAAGTATTTGTCTGAGGCATTGGTGTTGTCTCACCCACTGCATCCATATCATCAAACTCTCTACTTTATTCATACCTGGTTGTCTATTTAATTTAATTTCCTTGAGTCAGCTTACAAGATCTCTTAAGTGTTCCGTAACCGTAACCTTTTATTCCGATTCTTTTGTTATCCTGAAGGGTGAAAGGAATCTATGAAAGAAGGTTCTCAAACCGGGTACGGGAAAGATGATTGGCATAGGACATGAATCACAAAGACTTTATTACCTCCAATCAACCTCTCATGTTGCATGTGCTGCTGTGGAATCTCCTAGTCTTCTCCATCACCGTCTTGGTTATCCTAGTTTATCAAAACTTCAAAAAATGGTTCAAGGTCTTGAGAATTTAAAGTCTTTCAATTGTGAGTCATGTCAACTTGGCAAGCATGTTCAGGCTTCTTTTCATAGTAAGGTCAATAGTCAAATAATGTATAGTTTTTCTATCATTCATTCTGATGTTTGGGGTCCTAGTCATGTTTCTACACCAACTGGTTTTAAATATTTTGTTACTTTCATTGATGATTTTTCTTGGTATACTTGGTTATTTTTAATGAAGGAACGTTCAAAGGTCTTTCCTATATTTCAATCCTTCTACACTGAAATTCAAAATCAATTTGGCAAAACGATTATAGTTTTACGTAGTGATAATGCCAAAAAATATTTCTCTGCTGATTTCTCATTATTTGCGCCATCTCACGGGATTTTGCATCAATCATCATGTCCTCATACCCCAACAAAATGGAGTAGCCGAAAGAAAAATTTGCCATTTTATTGAAACTGTCGCACATTGTTGTTGCATGCTTATATGCCACTACAATATTGGGGGGACATTGTCCTAACTACTTGCTATTTGATTAATCGGATGCTTTCCTATGCTATCAATCATCAATTCCCTCTTCAGTTGTTAGACCCTCAATGTCCCTTGTATACGGTTCCTCCTCGAGTATTTAAGTGTACTTGTTTTGTCCACGATCTTTCTCTCGGGCACGACAAGTTGTCCCCTTGTGCTATCAAATGTGTCTTCCTTGGTTATTTTCGATTGGAAAAGGGGTATCGTTGTTATTCTCTTATCACTCGTCGGTGGTATATCTTTGCCAGTGTCACCTTTTTCAAATACACACCCCACTTTACTTCCACCACTGATGTTATAGTAATCTCTGAGGCTTTATTGGTACCATACTTTGGTGGTCTCCCTTTGTCTCCCTTACAGGTACCTACAATTACTCAGCAGGTACCCACAGTAACTCTGCCAGATCATGACCAACTTGATCCTCCTCAACAACCGATTATCACTTACCAGCGTCATTCCAAGGCAGCCATTCCTACAACCTAGGTAGTCACCGTGGATTCTCATACATCATGTCCTATTCCAACGGCTTCCCCTACTGCGAACCTACCTTCCTCTATTGCACCTAGCCACCTACATCAACTCCTAGTAACTCTGTCAGTGATTTTCCTATTTCCATTCGCAAAGTTAGTCGTTTCGCTCGTAATCGTCATCCTATTTATAACTTAATTGAGTTTTCACCGTCTATCTCCATCATATTGTGCATTTGGGTCTTCTATATCCTTTGTTCAGATTCCTAACACTGTTGATGAGGCTCTTTCCTACTCTGGTTGGAGGCAAGCTATGATTGATGAGATGAGATGACTGCCCTTGAGCACAGTGGTACATGGACTTGGTTCCGCTTCCCACAGACGAAAAGGTTGTTGAATGCCATTGGGTATATGTAGTCAAAGTAGGCCTTGATGGAAGTATTGATAGACTCAAGGCCCGTCTTGTTGCTAAATGATACACTCAGACTTATGGTCTTGATTACAGTGAGTGATTCTCCCCAATGGCCAAAATGGCTTCTGTTCGTCTCTTCCTTGCCATCGCCGCTATTGGGCATTGGCCTTTTTATCATCTTGACATTAAGAATGCCTTCCTTCATGGTGATTTAGACGAGGAGATTTATATGGAGCAACCACTTGGATTTGTTGCTCAGGGGAAGTCTGGATTAATTTGTAAGTTAAAGCGGTCTTTTTATGGGTTGAAACAATCCTCTCGAGCTCGGTTTGGCAAGTTCAGTATAGTTGTATAGAAATTTGGGTTATCTCAGAGTGAAGCTGATCATTCAGTTTTCTATCGTCACACTCCATCTGGTCGATGCATAAAATCCAGTATTCCATAAAAGTACGAAACATATTGAGATCGACTGCCATTTTATCAGAGAGAAAGTCCTTTCTAAAGAAATCCTTATTGAATTTGTTAACTCAAGTGATCAGCTTGCTGATCAACATCAACATCAACATCAACAACACCTTTATCCCAAATTAATTGGGGTCGGTGGTAGATGAACCCACATGAAAGATACAAAACGGTTGAAAAAAAGTAACAAAAAAAATAAAAAATAAAAAATAAATAAATAAATAAATTAATAAATAAATAAAAATACACAAATAAAATAATAAAATAAAATAAAATGAAATAAAAATATATGTATATATAAATAAATAAAAGTAAAAAAGAAAGGGACAAGAAGAAGTGGGGGAAATGAAGGGGAAAAGGACTAAAAAAGGACCATATAACAGCGGGTCTAACCCTCCACCATATTTATAGCTTTTCTCCATTCCTTTCTAAGACATACTGTCCGCCAATCTATATCCCACTCCATTAAATCTTGTTTTACTACTTTCCCCCAAGTAAGCTTCGGCCTACCTCTGCCTCTTTTTGTGTTTAGCTCTTGGTAACAAACTTCTGTTCTTACAGTAGCATCCATGGGTCTTCTCATCACGTGCCCAAACCACCTCAATCTATGTTCTCTCATCTCTGCCTCTTTTTGTGTTTAGCTCTTGGTAACAAACTTCTGTTCTTACAGGAGCATCCATGGGTCTTCTCATCACGTGCCCAAACCACCTCAATCTATGTTCTCTCATCTTCTCGGCTACCGGTACTACTCCGACCTTTCGTCGAATATCTTCATTTCTTATCTTATCCATCCTTGTGTACCCACACATCCACCTTAACATCCTCATCTCTGCTACTCCCATCTTATGCTCATGTTGCCTATGTGCTGGCCAGCATTCCGCTCCATATAGCATTGTCGGTCGTACTGCCGTTTTATAGAATTTTCCTTTTAACTTCAGGGGAATTTTGCGGTCACACAAAAATGCAGATGCACTACGCCATTTCATCCACCCTGCTCTGATTCTGTGATTTACATCCTCATCAATCTCTCCACCATTTTGTAAAATGGAGCCCAAGTATTTAAAAGCATTTTTTTTGGGTACCTCTTGACCATTTAGATGCACAGGTTCTTGGTCCTCATCTTGTACCAGAGAAAACTCACACTTCAGATACTCAGTCTTGCTTCGACTTAATGTGAATCCTCTGGATTCCAATGTGCTTCTCCACAATTCAAGTTTTCTATTAACACCCTCCTTGCTCTCATCAATAAGCACAATATCGTCTGCAAAAAGCATACACCATGGCACTTCCTCTTGAATATCTTTTGTTAGTTCATCCATAACTAAGGCAAATAGGTAAGGACTTAGAGCCGACCCTTGGTGTACACCTACCGTGATAGGAAAATATCTTGATGATCTGTTACAAGCTTTTACATCATTGAGGGGACCACGAATACAATTTATTTGTGATAAGCTTGGTGCGTATGATATGTATGCTTCAGCTTGAGGGGGAGTGTTAGAATATTTGTATAGTGTAGGATTAGTATAGTATTTCTTTTGCTTCCTTATAATGAGTGATGGGTCCTTAATGAGGGATGGGTTTCCTATTATGAGTGATGGGTCCTTGTAATGAGTAATGGGTTTCCTATTATTATGTTTTTCCATTATTAGAGTGATTGTATTGATTATAAATACCATTTGAGCTTAGAGAGTTCTGTAAGCTATTCAGATATTCCCTTCTTTAATAGGAAAAATATCTAACCTAATGCTCCTACTTACTCTACTATTCTTGCTCGAGTACAAGTCTGGCCAAATAACACTATTAACGTAGTAAGACTCCTTAAACAATAAGATTATAGTAACAGATACAAAATTTCACGATTAACAACCAATAAGCATGGTGCTTGTGTCTTTGAGGATGGGTTTTGTTTATAGGAAAAAGAGAGAAAAAAGGACTACAGAGAAATAGGAGTAACGTGATACGGAACACTAACCTAATGCTCCTATTTTCTCTACTATTCTTGCTCGAGTACAAGTCTGGCCAATATTAATGCGATAAGACTCCTTAAACAAAAAGATTTTAATAACAGATACAAAAGTTTCATGATTAACAACCAACAAGCATGGTGCTTGTGTCTTTGAGGATGGGTTTTGAAGGTTGCTCTTTTATTTTTGCATTCTATGCATTTATGCTGCACGGAATTTTCTTCTCATCAAATAGATCCTGAAAGGTCTGGTCTACCTGTGTAAAATATTTGGTCTTGCCAAATTTATTATACTGATTGGTGGTTTGATGTTTCCAGATTATATGTTAAACATTCTTTGTGCTCACATCTTTTTTCATTCTTTTTTACTTATATACTGGTTTAATGTACTTTTCTATGGATTTAATTAGGTATAAAACTGAAAATAGTCAGAAACTTGAGCCAATAGAAGAAGTTACAATTGAGGTAATAATTCAATTTGATATTCCTAATATTCTTGTCCAATAGTTTGGACTTTAAACGTTGTAATGGATCTACCCCAGGTAAATGAGGAGCATGTTGGCTTGGTAATGGAGGCCTTGTCTCACAGGCGAGCTGAGGTTACTGACATGGGTCCTGTCTCAGGAACGGTTGGACGAACTAGATTGTGTTTGACTTGTCCATCAAGGTTAGCTTAGTTGTCATTTTGTATCTTTGAATTTATCTCTCTGATTTGTCTTTCTCCCAGAATATAAATGGTCTTAAATTCGATATTATATTATCATGGGTAAAATATATATCTATTTAATGGAAACATTATAGATGTGAGGTTTTGATGAAATCACATTCTTAGATCTTTTGTTTCTTATCATCCTTTGCCTCTTTCTTGGGTGATGATAACCTCTTGCTATCCCAGTGGCTTTCTTTAATAACCTTGCTCTGAGATGATCAGGAAAGAAAAGAAAGGGAATGAATCTCCGTGTCAATACCTATTCAATAATTGAATGTCAGTTAAGTACTAAAATATAATTTTTCTAGTTTTTCTCTTACTCAAAAACAGCTTTTGGCATCATGGTTGAGACCAGATTTACTATTTTGGAGTCCTGATTTCTGATTGCATCCGTATTTAGGTTAGATCCCATAGAGCTGCTTGAGTAATTTGAGTTTCTGAAATTCAGTTCATGGATGTTCGTTAGTTATCTTACATTGTCATAAATTGAGATATAACTTCTTTGGCATTACAGTTAAAATAAAATCAGATCTTATGCAGAGTGCAAGAATTCTAGTAAGTAACTTCTTTAGTGCTGTTTGTTCAGGGGACTGGTTGGTTACAGGAGTGTGTTCAGCAGTGACACACGTGGAACTGGATTCATGCATCGTGCTTTCCTGGGTATGCATTCTCTGCTAAAACTTCATCTCTTTTTCTTCCCATTGGCATGTAATGATGACAATTTTCAGTTTGTTTGCTATATGTTTTGTTTGACATCCCTAACTAGAATAGAAATGCCACGAATACTTAATTTTCCTTCTGACTACTGATATAATTTCACGGCAGAAATTTTGCATTGAACTAAACAGAAATATTTGGTGGTTCATGACAATTTTCATTAGTGTTACATAATGCCAGTTTAAACTGACCAAAATTAGCTTACAAATCAAACTAACTATCTTATTACCTGATTATTGCTCTATTTACACATGTACATCAAAATAATACAAGTTCCTCAATAGTCAAAACATAAATACGTTGGTGATAAGTTAGTTAATTACCCAAAATCTAAGTGCTACATATATAAACATACTAGCTAGTATCTGAGAAAACACTAGATGTATAGCAAAAAATCTCTCATAGGAAACTCCAAATCTAGGGTGACTATCCAGACGTATGCTACAATCTCATGAAAATCAGCTGGGCATCTTAATTCTTTTTCTCTGAAAGTTTCAGGAAATACAGAAAATCATAGTGAAAATAAATTTATCAGTAATTTAGAATTTTTGACCTATGACTATTTTTAGTTGTAGCACGCTACAAAAAATCCTATTTTTGTTAATTGAATTTACAAAGCATTGAGAACAACATATAATCATATCATACTGATATGAATCTTGGGAGAGCCTCACCCCAAAAACTAGCCCATGAGATAAGAGAGCCTAAAGTCCATATAAACCCCACATCAGACCCTTATGTTTCTGATGTGGGACTCAAGTTCCATACCTTGCAATTGGATCGTAACTGTTAGAGAGATATATAAAGTCATTAATGTAGCCTCACCCAACAACTTAAGTTTTTGGGTTGAATTGGTTCTTTACATGGTATCAGAGCCTCGGTGTCACGGGTTCGATCCTCACCGCCTCCCACTTTCTCTTGTGGAATTTCTTAGCAAAGATAGGTGGACCTGTGCATTGTCCACTTTTTAAGTCCAGTGGGCTCTCGTGTGATGGGGCATGTTAGAGATATATAAAAACCATTAATATTGTCTCACTCACTAGCTTAAGCTTTTGGGTTGAATTGGTTCTTTACAGTAACATTTCCCCACGTTTTGTAGCCCCGGCGCCCACGCGGCTTGGCTTTGCGCTAGTCTTTTACTAGCTTTAGGCGAACATTGCAATGCCAGCGTCCCTAGCCGCGCCGCTCGAATGCAACTGGGGGACATAGTGGAAGGCTCTGATATCAATTGATACGAACCTTGGGAGAGCCTCACCCCAAAAGCTAGCCCATGAGGTAGGAGAGCCCAAAGTCAATATAAACCTCACATCAGACCCTTATCTCGTACCTTGCAATTGGATCGTAACATCCCACCACGTTTCGCAGCCCTGACGCTCATGCGGCCTGGCTTTGCGCTAGTCTTTTACTAGCTTTGGGCGAACATTGCAATGCCAGAGTCACCAGCCGCGTCGCTCGAATGCAACTGAGAGACATAATGAAAGGCTCTGATATCAATTGGTACGAACCTTGGGAGAGCCTTACCCGAAAAGCTAGCCCATGAGGTAAGAGAACCCAAAGTCGGTATAAACCTCACATCATACCCTTTTGTTTCCGATGTGGGACTCAAGTCCCGTACTTTGCAATTGGATCGTAACACATACCCATCTATATGCAATTCATAATTTAAAAATCATTATGCATTAATTAACATAGACATAACATAACGTTCATAACTTGGCATTATATTATTCATATCTTTGGCATCGTATTGACATTTCTGGACTTTACTTGTATAACTCATTGTAAGGTTGCATTTTATTTGGTTTGAGCTTATAACCATTGCATAGGTGTCTCTGTCCCTACGGATTATTTGAATTCCTGTCACAATCCTCTCGACGACTAGTGTTCTAGGAAGTACAATCCAAGGTCACTCGACTTTTGGGATAATTCCTTGTTGAGAGTCACCTGCATAAGGGATCATTTCTCTCCGGGATTTATGTCTTTCATATTTACATGTCGCATCATGCTCTAATTCATGATAACATGTTAGTATATTGATTGCACTTATTATTTCATATATATCATTGTAATAAAGTTCTTATAATCATAATCTCTTGCTAATGTCACTTGAACTATAAATCATTGTTATAATGTCTTTAATGATAAACGCATACATATACTTTGCATATCAATCATGATTGCATAAATTCTCTATCTCATTTTTATGCACCCACAAGTAACTTATAATACTTAGGGTTGTGTTAGAATCATATCCACATTGAAGTTAGCGATTTTGAAAACCAATAATTCATGGTGCGCAATAGCGCTGCTGCTTTGGCTCTCTATATGTAGAGATGCGACTCTGCTTCAGGTTATGCTAGCTCTAGGGTGCTAGATGATGGGTGCCTTGGCGCTTGTTGGTGTTTCTAAAGGGTTCCATTAGGTTTTATTTTCGTTCCTGATTTTCTAGCTTGATCTTTTTTAGGGTTTTGTAGTCAACATACATACAACATATTTTTCAACATTTAATCCATCACCACAAGTGAAGAAAACTAGGATCTAACTTAACAAAACCCATACCTACAAATAGAGAATGGGTTCTATGCACTCATAATGGGTTCTATGGAATTTTTTACCTTAAAAAGAAGTAACAACCATGAATTTCAAGTCACCAAAGCTCTCATGTCATGCAATATCCATTTTCCTTAAAATCCTTCAAAGAATATAAATGAAACCAACCCAATCATCACCACACCAACAACATGATTTTTAATCCATATACAGCACAATCAAACATCAAGTTTTTGGTGGAAAATCAATCAACAAAAGATAGTTTTTAGAGACTTCAAATCACCTTAGAGAAGACTAGGGTTCTTGGTAGAACTTGGAGTAATTTTCCACTTCTCCCCCCTTCTTACTTTATTCTTTTCTCCCTTTCCTTGCTTCTATCCACCGAAACCCCTGCCCCTTCTTATCTCTTCTATTCTCTTCTTTATAATATCTTATTATTTACTTTTGCCTGATTACCCATAAGTCCCATACAAAACTTAAAAATATTTAAATCTACTAATCTTCTATTGATTAAATCAACATCTTTATTTTGAATACCAATAGGGTAATTCTAGGTATGGTTCATAATTCCATGCAAATTGGACATAATATGCAATTAGGAGTAACTATAAGGGTCTAAATCTAATTTCTGAATCTTTTGGGCTTAGACTGTAAATTAATCAATATATGTTATTCCTCGCTCAGAAAAATAAGGTAAAATATCATACAACTTCTAATAACATTTCCCATCTAATAGCATACTTCACTGAACTAGTAAAAATAATTATGTAGGAGAATTTGTGTCTTACATTTTGCAAATCTTGTTGTTTAGTTGCCCTCATGATTTAGGTTTTGCTTATTTTATGTTTGTGGAGCTTTAGGCTTGCTAATCTTACTAACTTCTCGCACTTTTTTGAGCATTTCAATTTATGCAATCCAGTTTAATGTTTCCGACTTATAGTTTTTATTAAACTTTTTACAATAAGCATTATTGTGATTTTGCAGAGTATGAAAAATTTCGAGGCCCTCTCGGCAATGTTAGGAAAGGAGTACTGGTATGTTTGTCTACTGCTGTCCCAACTTATGAGGGCTTAACAATAATTAAACTGCACTGAGTTACTACTCATGATACACTTTTGTATTTCAATTCGTAAAGCTTGTTTTACTTAAATTTTCAAACTTATGCTTACCTTATGTTGTTTGCTTTACTGAACAGGTGTCAATGGGTTATGGTACAATCACAGCTTATGCATTGTTGAGCTTAGAACCTCGTGGGACTCTTTTTGTAACTCCTGGAATGGAGGTTGGAACTTCCCATCTCTTCTGGGTCTTTTTTACTTATAATTTTTTCGTAACTAGTAAATTTTTTTGCTGCTAAAAAGTTAATTTAGAAAAAGAATTTTGAAGTTTTTATCTTTTTTTGGTTTTTTTTGCTATCAATCTACTATCCATTGTTTTTCTGTATGAAAACAAGTGGGGTATTTGATGGTGAAACACTTTGACCTTGTAGTGCTAGTGAAACAATGAAAGGGGCTTAATTGAAATAACTTAATGATGGGCGTCTAGATTTTGCTTATAGTGCATGTATAAGTTTCTCTTATATGCTGCCTGTAAACTTGCTCTTTGGTTTACAGACATATGATGGAATGATTGTTGGAGAACATTCACGGGATACGGATCTTGATGTAAGGAAATGTATTCTTAGCCTGAATGCAGGTATTATATCAAAGCTGGTAATCCACTGACAAAGATTGTGTGATATTGCAGGTCAATCCAGTGAGAGCTAAAGAGCTTACAAATGTGCGTGCTGCTTCCAAGGATGAGAACGTGAAGCTATCTCCGCCTCGCCTTGTATGTATTTATTTGACAAAATTATGCTCTTACATCTTGCTCATTTTAGACAAGTGAGAATTCTATACCTACTGAATCGAGTAGGGTTCATGATTTCTATGCATTCATTCATAAGGTCCAGCTATTAGTAGGATTAATCATTTGATGAGACCTAGTTGGGAGTTCACATGTCCTGATATTTTCAAATATCAGTTCTCTAGACCTGCTGTATGACAGCTGTATTGAGTATTTACAGACTTTTGCATCTGCCAGTATAACATAAATTCTTTGAAACTTCAAATTAGTATTCATCTCTGGCTGAACAGTTATTATTATTATTATTATTATTTTGTTTATTTATTGTCAGAGAGCATAGTCAATAATTATTTTAAGTAATTATTCATAAGATCAAAAATATTTTCGTACTTTTTGTAGGTCATTTGTGGTTTTCAAGTAGGAAAACGCGTGAAGCATGAATGAATTTTCAAGTCTGATATCAAATGTTGAAATATCAATATTCAATATGCTTTCTGTGTCTTTCGGGTTCTTATTCCACTGTTCAATTAAACTAGCAAGTTTTATGTTTTAGACCTGGCATCACTTTGAGGCTGTATGAAATGTTTAGCATGTGATCGGAAAGTAGTTAGCAGAAAAGCCACAATATGATGATGGTGCTTGAGCTTAACATGTAACTTTGTTACTTACATCTGTTGATCATTTGGTTGCAGATGACGCTTGAAGAAGCTATAGGGTATGTAGCTTCGGATGAGCTTATTGAGGTAAGTTCCAGCCTACAATTATTATTGTTACTTGAAAGTAAGAAGGTATATTGTATTCAATTGTATATTAATCTAATACGAAGAGTTACAATATATAGAGACCCTTATGGGCTTAAGTGAGAAGCCCAGAATATTTACAGATAGGAAGTAATCTATTCAAATCTAATCAAATCTAATCATATCTAACATTTCCTATTCTAATATTTCCTATTCTAATATTTCTAACACTCTCCCTCAAGCTGGTGCGTATATATCAAAAGCTCCCAGCTTGTTACATATATGATCTATTCGGGGACCTCTAAGAGCCTTGGTGAAAACATCTGCAAGTTGATCACTGGAATTAACAAATGCTGTCTCGAACTCTCCTGACTGAATCTTCTCTCTAACAAAGTGACAATCAATTTCTATATGTTTGGTCCTCTCATGAAAGACTGGGTTAGAGGATATATGCAATGCTGCTTGATTGTCACAGATGAGCTTCATGGGCTGCTGTTCACAGAGATGTAGCTCCTTAAGCAATTGTTTTAGCCGGATGAGCTCACAGGTTGCATTTCTCATTGCCCGATATTCTGCCTCTGCACTTGACCTTGCGACAACAGTTTGTTTCTTACTATTCCAAGAGATCAAGTTTCCTCCAAGGAGAACACAATACCCTGAGGTGGATCGTCTATCTGAAGGAGAATGTAACACCCCGTTCTAGAACCGGATTGTTATCATTGCGTACGGCATTAAGCGCAGTTACAATCACATTGGTTCAATTAGAAAACCGGATAAATTTTTCCTTTTTATACAAGCCGGATTCAAATAACCAAGTGCGTGATCATAACTATACATACTTCGCGGAATAGTGGGACAAAACTAAAGGTTATATTCCCATTATACTTGACAATACGTCGTGAAAAGTCTTCATCACTTTAATTATCAAATTAATTTTAAACTCCTTTTATGATTCCCATCTTCTACTATGTTATAGTATTTTTCATTAGCTACGCGTGGCTTCAAACCGCGCTCAAATCGGAGCACCGTAGCCAAAGTTATGCATTTTCCAAGAAAAGGGTGCGAAACCTCCAGAACCCCCGCGCCCGCAGCGTGAGATCCACGCTCAGAGCGTGGGAAAACAGAAAGTTGGCGCCCCAAGCGTGGATCTGGCGCCCCAAGCGTGGATGCTACTGTCTGATCTCATAATTTGGCGCCCCAAGCGTGAATTTGGCGCCCCAGGCGCCATCCACAGGGCTGGGTGACCCAAAACAAGGTCATTTAACCTACCTATGGTTTTTCACTCATAATTTGAGCTATACTCTCTCAAATTACACCATTTCGGTCTCTATGGAAAGATAAGAGGAATGTCTACCACTTCCATAGAGACATCAAAGTCCAATTCCATCACATTGGGTGTGAAAATTGGTCAAACGGACATGATGTATTTGTTTTCTCAACATTTCCCAATTTAGCACTAGGTACCTAATTGATTTTCAGCCCAACCAATTCAACAACTCAATACATAACAAGCATGCATATATTGAATTTCAAGTAGGCATCATTTACATTACATATCCTTTACAAATCATAGAACTTAGCTTACAAAACATTATGATCATTCCCTTGGCTCCCATCAACAAAAGGTGTAACCAAAGGCATGAGCATAGGCTAAGTTCATCCAATGAATCAAGATATACAAATGACCATGGGCTTTCAAAATAAAATCCTATACATGTCAACTACAAAAGGCATGCATAAACTCAAAGAAATGCCATATATCATGCATAATCCAGATATGGCCACTTGCCACCAGAGGCTCCTGCAGCATCCTTACCTGAAAGGGGGTCCCCACAACACGGGGTGAGATATACGAATATATCCAGTAAACCAGGGGTCCTAGGAGCATCTCTCCACCCCACAGTTCCATATCAGTGTAATAGCAATAACAATAATAATGCAGTAAATACATATCTATGCAAAGTGCAATACATCTCCAGGAGAAATCCCTCGAGCTCTCAAGCTGTCCTAAGGAAACTCAGATGCAAATAGTCCTACTGGCCAGCTAACTACCAAGTATGATTTACGCATCGTCATGCAACATACCAACATAGGGAAACACCATCCTATGCCACACCAAATGCATACACATACGTATAACAAAGCATTACACTATTTTATTGCATTTATATACACAATCACAACCTCTACCCTTTCAGGGCTTGGTGGAACAGTCAAGGGAATTACACCCAAGGTCCGAAGGCTTACCTCAATGCTTCAGTCGACCTTTGTTCTTCACCAATGTCAACAATACTCTACTCCAAAACCAACACCTACACATGGTGTAATGCAATCAACACATTGCATCCAAGAGTATTTCACAATCAACCATCAATTCAAAACACAACTCAAGTATGAGCTTACCAATTCCAATGAGCTATTCAAGCTCCATAGCTTGCTCCAATGGTTGATCACTCACGGTTGGTCCAAATGTCTCAATCCTAGACATCATAAGGATCCAATCAATCATTCAACTCACTAATTGTTCAACATGCTAGAATACTAACCAATCCAAGCATGAATTTTCCAATATTATGAACGATTATCAAATGACTATCTAGGCTCATTTCCACCGATTAAATGTCGTTCCTAGCATTTTTCCCAACATGCTCTAAACTCCATTCTTCCTAGAACATAGCTAATTCAACTACATTTCATAAAAATCCCAATTTACTATTCACAAACCCTAACTCATGCAAATTTCAAGGAATCATGAGGTTCAAGGGTTAGAATCTTACCACCAATGGTCACACAACCAAGGATTGATGGCTCCTCAAGCTTCAATGGAGGTAGAAACTCTCAAAACCCCAATTTTCACCAAAGGGCCGAATTTTTGAGAGGTAATATCTCTCTCCACAATGCTCCCCACTCAAAACAAAGCTAGGATTATGAAAGAGGAGGAGATTTGGAGTGGTTTAGGCTTTGGAATTGCTCAAAATGGTTGAGGTTTGCTCTCTCTCTCTCTCTCTTCCTCCCTTTCCCTCCTTCTCCTTCTTCTTCCTCTCTTCTTTCCTCTGATTCAGGCTCGACGAAATGGGGTGGGAAATGGGGCTCATTTTGGCTTTTAGTCACTTAACATAGGTTAAGTGACTTTAGGCGGGTATTGGTTCGTCTATCTATTCAACTCCATTAATTACCAAACTTTACCCAAAAGTCTGGAATATTATTCTAGGAATATTTACAATTTTATTTTTATATTTTGGGCACTTTCGCCAGTACCCATTTATACCCCTTAATTTTCACTGAGTACACTTTTTAACTTCAAAGTGACTCAGATTCATTTAATTAAGCCTTATACTTAATTTTACTCATTAAAACATGCTTAATTATTTAATTACATGCAATTTGCTAATTAATTAGGTTAGGGCTATTATAGTCACCCCACCTTTTAGCGATTTTGTCCGCAAAATCAAGAACGTACCTGTCCTTAAACTCAGGATATTGCCGGAGAAGCTCATCTTCCCGCTCCCAAGTGGACTCTTCAGGCGTCCTTCCTTCCCACTGGACTTTCACCATAGGAATAGATTTATTTCTCAGCTTCTTCTCATCTCTTTCGAGTATCTTCAGTGGCCCAATAGGAGTCTTCAAATTCTCCCGGATCTCAACATTATCAGGTTGAACCACATGAGAAGGATCAGCTACATATTTCCTCAGCTGAGAAACATGAAACACATCATGCAAATTTGCCAATTGCGGAGGTAAGGCAAGCTGGTAGGCAACCGGTCCCACCCTACGAAGAATCTGGTAGGGTCCAATAAATCTCGGACTCAGCTTCCTCACTCCAAGGGCTCGTCCCACACCCGTAACCGGTGACAGCTTCAGGAACACATGATCTCCCTCCTCAAACTCTAGAGGCCGGTGCTTGAGATCATAATAACTTTTCTGACGATCCTGAGCCTTTTTCAGACGATCCCTAATCATTTTGATCTGCTCAGTAGTCTCCTGAACAAAATCCAATCCAAACCGCTCTGTGTCTCCAACCTCAGACCAACAGGTAGGTGTCCTACACCGGCGACCATACAAGGCCTCGTAGGGAGCCATACCCAGACTAGCATGGAAACTATTATTATATGAAAACTCAACCAGCGGGAGATATCGATCCCATGCAGTACCCTGCTCCAGGGTGCAAGCCCTCAGCATATCCTCCAACGTCTGAATGGTCCTCTCAGTCTGACCATCCGTCTGTGGGTGATAAGCAGTGCTCAGTCTCAACTGAGTGCCAAGAGCCTCCTGCAATGCTCCCCAGAAGCGAGAAGTGAACTTCGGGTCCCGATCACTAACAATGCTCTCAGGCACCCCATGAAGCCTCACAATCTCCTTCACATAGAGCCTAGCCAATCTCTCCGCAGAGAAATCTACCCGAACTGGCAAAAAGTGTGCGGATTTCGTCAATCTATCCACAATCACCCATATAGAATCATAACTAGCCTGTGTTCGCGGCAATCCCACTACGAAATCCATGGAGATACTCTCCCATTTCCATTCAGGAACATCCAGAGGTTGCAACATACCAGAAGGCTTTTGATGCTCAATCTTTACCTTCTGACAAATGAGACACTTAGAGACAAATTCGGCAATATCTTTCTTCATACCAGGCCACCAGAAATTCATCTTTAGGTCCTGATACATCTTTGTAGCTCCCGGATGAACTGTAAAATGACCCTTATGAGCCTCTGTCATTACTTCCTCCGCCAACTGCCTAGGTACTACAACACGACCCTGATATAGTAGTACACCCTCATCATTGCAGGATACACCACTCTGACCTTTTAGTCGTCTAGCACTTTCATTTTGCAGCTGGGCTTCTTTGATTCTGGTCATCAGTTCATTCTCAATGCTCGTGATTTCAAAGCCACAAATTTTACATGGAAAGATTTTAGATAATTGAATATCTCTGAACCTCTCTATCACATCATAATCTCTGATCATCATGCTTGATATACTCACGGATTTTCGGCTCAGTGCATCAGCTACAACGTTAGCTTGCCAGGATGATATTTCAATTCAAAATCATAGTCTTTTAGGAACTCGGTCCACCGTCGTTGTCTCATATTCAGCTCCTTTTGATCAAACAAGTATTTCAAACTCTTGTGATCGCTGAATATTGCAAATTGCATTCCATACAAGAAATGCCTCCACTGCTTCAACCCAAAAACAATTGCAGCAAGCTCAAGATCATGGGTTGGATAATTTTCTTCATGTGGTTTCAATTGCCTCGATGCATAAGCTACCACCCGCCTATCTTGCATCAGCACACATCCCAATCCCTTTTTGGAAGCATCGCTGTATAACTCAAACTCACCTTCCGGGTCGGGAAGTACTAACACCGGAGCGGTCGTCAATTTCTCCTTAAGGCTCTGGAAGCATTCTTCACATTCTTGTGTCCAAACAAATGGAGTATCCTTTCGGGTCAAACGGGTCAATGGCAACACCATGGCTGAAAATTCTTTAATGAATCTCCGGTAATAACCAGCCAAACCCAGAAAACTTCTTATTTCTGTTACTGTCTTGGGTCTTTCCCAATCAACAACTGCCTCTATCTTGCTAGGATCAACCGCTACTCCATCAGCAGAGATAACGTGACCCAGAAATTGCACTTGAGAAAGCCAAAATTCACATTTAGAAGGCTTTGCATATAACTGTTTCTCTCTGAGAATTTGCAACACAGTTCTCAAGTGACCTTCATGCTCTTCCTTACTCTTGGAATATATCAGGATATCATCAATAAACACAATCACGAATTGATCCAGAAACGGCTTAAATATGCGATTCATGTAATCCATAAACACCGCAGGAGCATTAGTGAGTCCAAATGGAATTACTTGATACTCATAATGTCCATATCTAGATCGGAAGGCAGTCTTCGGAATATCTTCCTGCCTAATTCGGATTTGATGATAACCCGACCTCAAATCAATCTTTGAGAAGACACAAGCACCCCTCAACTGATCAAGCAAATCATCTATGCGAGGGAGAGGATACTTGTTCTTAATTGTAACCTTATTCAACTGACGGTAATCAGTGCACAATCTCATGCTACCGTCCTTCTTCTTAACAAATATGACTGGTGCTCCCCACGGGGACACACTTGGCCGGATAAACTGCTTAGCCGAAAGCTCTTCAATATGTTTCTTTAACTCGGCTAATTCCGGTGGTGACATCCTATACGGAGCCAGAGAGATAGGCCCCACACCAGGCAATAGATCAATCGTGAACTCAATCTCTCTATGAGGCGGAAGTTGTGGAATTTCATCTGGAAACACATCCACAAACTCCCTCACCACGGAAATAGTGCCAATCTCCTCATGACTTCCGCCTACTAAACCCCCCACAAAGACATATCCCAATGCCCCGACCCTCAAAGCCTTTCTAACCTGCAACACAGATAGATATGGGGAAGAACTAGTAGCAGAATCATCAGCATCAAGCACAATCCTTTTACCACAACAGTCTATCATAGCACAGTTCTTTGACAACCAGTCCATACCCAAGATAACTTGAAGGCTGATCATAGGTAAACAAATAAAATCCAGCACGTAATCTCGGCCTTCATATTTGAATTCGACATCTTTACACAACACGGATGTATAACACTCCTCTCCAGTAGCTGTAACCACTTTCATTGGAGGGCGAATGTCATACATTTGCAAATTTAGACCAACGGCCATAAAATCAGACATACAGGAGTGTGTAGCTCCTGAATCAAACAACACTTCAACATCCATATTATCAATGTAAATTGTACCTTTCACTAGATTCGGAGCCTTCTCCGATTGTTGACGGTCCATGGTATATACTCTACCAACCGTCTGAGACTCTAGCATAGGTTGAACAACAGAGACCGGAACAGCAGTAGCTTGAACTGCCATAGTCCTTGCTTCGTTCTGAGGACACTGCCTGGAGTAGTGACCGGATCTTCCACATTTAAAGCAAATCACCTCACCAGT